ATGATGTTAGATTTTGTATTTGGATGAATGTCAGAAATTTTAAATTACCATAAAGAAAAAAAAAGCATTAAGGCAACCATATTAATCAGTTGTGGAAAAGAAAGAGCAACAGACTATGGGTATGATCAAGCAAGCCAAGGAAAGTCAATTGGGTCAATGGAACACGGTTTCCTTCTTATTTCTTTTCCTTGATGAAAATACAAGAGATTGCCCTCAATCAAAATTGCATCTGGCTAAGCACAAAAGAAGGGAAAAATTAAAAGGAAAAAAAAAAAAAAACTGACGTGGGGATCCACATTGATGGGATCCCAACTCTTCTAGGTTGCCTTCACCCACTCCTGAATTAGCATATGAACAAAATTGTTTGGGCCCTAGGCCAACCTGAGGGAGCATCCTTATTGCAAACTCACTTTTGCTCTGTATCTGGTTTTCCCCATGCAAACCAATATTTTTATTTGTTATCAGAGTCTCTAGTTCATCAATCAAGAATACTTTCAAGTTGGAAATCAATAATAGATGGAAATAGTTGAGGCACTAGGAAGAATAGAGGAGTTGAGAGAAAGGGACAAGAGGGGATTGAGGGTTAAAGATAGCCTCTAAAATTTATATACCAATATGAGGGGAGCATCATACATACTTGCGTATCTTTACAGCACCATTGTCATTAATGGCACAGTTCACTAGATTCCTATCCTGACCCTAAGAAAGAATCTCCTGCATTTAATCTATGAGTCAAATCTTCAACTTCCCTGATCAAAAGATACATGAAAGATCATGTGTTAAGTAAATTTCTTTCTAAATAGAATAAATGTAGAACCAAGATAGAGAAATGATACCATAGAGATCCTAATGTTTCAAATAGAGTCCATTTTTCACTTTGTGTTTCATGTAATATATTGATGTTAAACTGGGAAATTTTGGATAATAGATGAAACAGAAAACCAACATGGGGATTTGTTGGTTTGAAAGTTTATGAAATTATCAAATCCCAGGTTGATCTTAGGTTCACAAAATCATGTTACCTCAGATGCAAATGAAATGCATGCAAAATTACAAAACAAAAATGTGCTGTTTGAACATACTACCTTTCAATATAAACATTAAGCCAAGAGAATGGGTTACCTATCTATTTTTCTTCCTTTAAACCTGGATCAATCTCATCATCAATGTCACCATCATCAAACTCATTCTTATTTGTTAAAATGTCATCTTCAACATCTTGTAAATTTTAGGTGTCACCAATATTGGGCCAAAGTTTCTTACCAGACTCAGCAATATGGCATCCAGAACTGAGACCATTTGACTCGTAAAAGATGTAGAAATTTTAGTAACTTGACAGTAAAAAGGAGAAGAAGACAGTGAAATGGAGAGATCCAGACCTCATAATTTTTAGAGTTCTCATTTGAAGAGCTGTTCTTTTGCAGCTCTTTTCTTCTTACTCTTTGAAGTTTTAATTCCTTTAGAATCTGTGAAAGTTTAGTTGAATGCACCCACCAATAATATTAATTAGGCATCAAAGAGTGCAAGAATTATTTTATTTTATTTTTTTAAGGACCATGATTGGTGTACACCCGGATCCAACACCTGGATCCAACACCCAGGTATGCACCCTCCACAGAAAAAAAAAAAGAAGAAATGAATCAGGTGATGAGTGTTTTTTTTTTTTTTTTTTTATGTGGGGGTTGCACACCTGAGATATGAAATTTATGTTCACCCATCATTTTCCTTTTTTTAAATAGCAGTTCCATTCTTCCAGGATATGAAACTTATGTTCCGGAACTAATTGGACAGCCTAATTAATTAGGATTTAGGATATCTACATTTTGTCCACTTTGGTCACCAAATGGAAAACAAAACCATCATCTTCATCATTATTATTATTATTTTAATATTTGCTACTAAAGAGTTCATCAAATCGTATTAGTAATCCCAAGATATGATCATGAAAATTTTTTAAAAAATCCATATTAAGACAAGCTAAGCTAGAGCCAAACTTAAGCATACCTCCATCTCCTCCATTAATAAAAGACAAGAGATCATCGACTGAACGGTCATCCACACGTTCTTCCTCTTTACCTCAACGTTCTGAAATAAATGGAAGTTATTGAGGCTTCTCAGCATGCATATGTTAAGTTTGGAATATATTGACACCGTTATGTAAGAATTGGTTCATGGCCAAAAACACATGCCAAAAATACAATGAAGAAAAAAAAAAGTTTAAAAAATAATAAAATAAGATATATGCAAGCGTAAAAAAAAGAAAAAAGAAAAAAAGAAGAAGCTAAAATCACCTTTTGTTTTCCCCTCTCCTTTAGTTCCTTCAATTCCTCTTCTTTGCATATATAGTCGATTCAGAAGCCGAATTCGTGTGTCGTTAGTTGTGTTTTTTAAAGTTTCTGAAATTATCAAATCTCATGCTGATCTTAGGTTCACAAAATTGTGTAACCTTAGATGCAAATGAAATGCATGCAAATTATAAAACAAACAAAAAAAAAAAAAGGAAGTAAATTATAAGTAAGAATACAAATTTTATTATTTTTTAAAAAATATTTAACATTTTAAGTGCTCGTGTTTCTTTTTTTTTATATTTATAATATTTAATAATTTTAATATAAATTTTTAATTTTTAAAATTAGATGCAAATGAAATGCATGCAAATTATAAAA